TTAAACTAATATAATTTGATGTATGGTAGAGATAACCAATAATTCTAACTGTTACTTATTTAATCTTATAAGCTATGTGCATTTTTATATTTTTATATATTTTATTTTAAATTTATTAAATGTTTTTATATGTTGAAAATATAATATATATATATATATATATATATATATATCTATATACATAAATATATTACAATTTAAATTATTTCTAATTTATTTTATTTTTATCGTTGAATAATACTTTTCTATCTATTATATTTTCTATTTATTTTACGTTTATATCTTGTGTCTCTTCTTTATTCTTTTAATCTAATGATTTATAAAATTATATTAAAGTAAGTCCTCAATTAACAAAGATGCATATATAATAATCAAAACGTTATGTATATCGATTAACATATTGCTTGAAATCTACATAATTCAAATCTACTAATATCTAACAAAGATTACTAATTAATTTTAAAATATCCAATAAAAATACATACACGCTACTTACAGCAATTCTAGAATAGTACTTCCGGTACAGTATACAACGTTGGTATTACAAAAATATTCTATACTTAATTATTAAGTAATTTATTAAATTTTTCATGTTATATATAAATCTGTTCAGTTTCCGTGTTGAAGAATATATATTAAATAACGATGTTATAATACTAAATTTTGTAACAATTTCCACTGTATTGTTGTTCAATTATTAATCTTAAAATGATTTAAAAAATACGTATGTTTTTTAAAGCCTTATTTACAAATATTTATGTAATTTAAAAATAAAGCTAAAACACAAACCATAAAAACAACGTTGAAAAATCAACGTATAGCATTGAAGTACTGAAACAGTCCACTTTATAACTACATAAAAATGGAATTTTTCTGTAGCCTATTATAACATGCTATCGACAGTGGTGATAAGATCTTTTCTAAAAAAAATTTGAATAAAATATGTCAATTTCATTTCTCGTACTGACTGAATATAATACAAAGTGGCAAAAATATTCGTTAAAATAGAGCTATCATAGATTATTATCTTGTAGCCATGCTAGGTAGAAGAACTCTAACCTGAAGTTTCGAATATGTTTTCAAGATAAATAACTAAATCATTCAAATATCGAGAAATGTAATTGGTACACTTTCATAAAGGTAAGTAAACAATGAACTGATAAACTAATTATATCCATATGAACCTTAGTTCATATACTTTTACAAATTTTTAAGAAAGTTAAATATAATTAAATATAAATCTGAATATTGTATTATATTATAATAATTAAAAGTAAAATGATTGATTCACTTCTATTGGGAATATAATAAAATAATATATTTATTAACAGTAATTGGTTTGTGGGTCATTATTTATACTTTTTAGTTATATTTATATACTCATGTGCTTTATTTCGTATTTTTAGAATAATTTATTTTTCATATTAAAATTCTATAATAAATAGAAAAAATGAACTATATTTTTTTTTTTGAGAACGCAATATCTGCCTGAGCATGCGTAATAAACGCTCTGATAGCTGCATTGCCGCATAAAATCTTATAATCTTTCTCTTCATGTATAGATATATTTTTTTACAAAAGCTTTGTATTGCATATACGGTTTTAAATATTGGACTATGCTACAGCGGGGTTAATACGAATCACCAGTAGTAACGGGCGAAGTTGGTGCGGCTCCTATAAGAGATTTTGTAAAAATTCTGTATACATATATAATTTAATATATTTCATTGTTAAATTAAATTGACTGTAAATGGATATTATTGTAAGATTTCTTTATATTAGTTTTGGTAGGCTATTATTTAAATTTTAATGACAGTCAGATACGTTAGTTGAATTACGAAAACCGTAGACAAGGAATTCTATTGATTTAAAATTTCAGTTTAAAATCACTATTTATGCAATTAGATATTAAACAAAAATTCAAGATATAAAATGTAATAATTACTTAATGATTTGAAAATTTTAATAGAATAATAATTGCCCAGATTAATTATCTACTTTTATATTGTCTTGAATTCAATTATTCCGTATAAGTAATGATGAAATAACTTCCAATAAACATTTAAGTAAAATAACATTATTACTATAATTTATTAATAGTTTAATTAAAATTTTATTTTTCATTTATAATCTGCTTATGAATTATGTTTTATGTTATTTCAAACAAAATTCAATGTATTTTATAATTATGTACGCGTGCATATTTGTGTGAGTTTCTATGTAAATTTTTCATTTTTATACATATATTATTAAATAACTATAATTATGTATATTCATTGAAGTTAGTAATATTAATTGAAACAGAAATTTTTGCCCATGTCAAATTAAAGATTTTTCACGATAAAAGAGTATTCTACTTTTGAAACAAGTTTTTAATTAATTTAATGTAAATTAATTTATTTTTAATTTTACAACTAAATTAGTAGTTTTAAATCATAAATGAATTTAGACATTTTCTTAGGTAGCAGTGTATATTTTCGTTTAATCAAATGATTAATTATTATTATTTATTGTCAAATAAATATATTGAATATATTTATATATATTATATAAATTAATAATTGTATAATACTATTTTATATAGAAATATTTATATACTGCCATTTTTGAAGTTCATAAGTTTTAAATTATATTTAAAATGTAATTTTTACAACTAAAGTTATTTCTTTAAATGAATACAGTCCACTAATCAATTAGTATTATTATTTCTTTCATTGCCTCATTTATTTAGAAATATGAAAAGAATTTGTATCTCCTATTCGAAATAATATGTGCGGCCTTCCCAAATTTAACTACAACTTTTTCACCCAATGATGTTCTAAATAAACAATATTTGCCGTCTTCGACTTATCCTTACCAATTAAAACGATCCAAAATAATTATTTCACATTATTTCACCATGCGACTACAAGGAATTTTACAGATTATTAAACTGCGTGGCTTGACCAAACCAGATTCGAAAAATCTCGTGATTCACCACTCCTTTCAATTATCGGTCTGCCGTCTTATCAGTTTACCGTTTTTGTCTGGCGATGCAGACGCGTCAAAGATCGAAAGCTCCCACAAACTTACATCGCAAGTTCAATGGCGTTGTCACGAATCAAGGTTGAATAGCTGGGTCATCGAACAAAGTTTATTACTGTGTGGAGGCCTTTAATTGCGGCACGACTTTATACGGCCGTACTAGCATTTGTTCAACAAGCCTGGAGGATCAATCCGCACTGTCGATCATCTGAGCAATATTTCTCATCGAGATACGAGATTGAAATAGTAATTTCTAGCTCGACCATGAAAATAATATGCATTCCGTGCATTCGCATATACGCTAGAAGTTATTACAAGCGAGTGCACAAGTATTTCGTTCTCGTATCCCAAGAACGTCGTGCTTTAATCGATGGGTTATTAGCTATTTTCTGAAGGTACGCAGATCTTTTACTCTGAGTTAGATCAACATTTTGCATAGCGGTAGCTAATACGCGTTATAACTTTTACTTTAATGAACAATCAGAAGCTACTGTGATTGAATTTGGTGAATATTAAAGGAGAAATATTTATCGTCCACTGTTAAATGAGTAAACGTTATTTGTTTTTAATAAAAATTCTTTGTTGCTTACATTTTTCTGCAATTTTAATTTGAAGATATAACAAAATTATAATAAGAGTATATTTGAATTCACACTTATAAAAAATTTAAGGTGACAAATACATAATGAACGTAGTAGATATTTGTATCAATATTTTACAAAAAAGCAATTCATTACTACAGTAAAGCATTGAATAAGAAATATGATTTACTTTTAATTAAATAATTTTTTTTTAATCTATAGATGTATAATACATATTATTTTAGTTAAAAAATGTATACGCAATATTTTATTAAATTAATAAACATATCATTTATAATCACATAATAATGAAATATTTAAGACGGTTTCTTGCATACTATGGTAAAAACTTGCCCCTTTTCGACAAATCTATTTCTCTCATGCATCTATTTCAACCACAAAAATCCCGAAAATAACCGAATGCCCTAGCTTTTTCTATAACTAACTTTCTAATTATCTTGACAAATGTCGAAAAAGTCTACTGCGTTAAGCCAGATTTATAATTATTACAACAAATTAAATTATAGTTAAAGTCACTCAAAAATCTTTATTTTTAAGTTACTAAATATAATCGCACATAAAGAAGTTCATAAAATATAAAATAGTAAAATTATTATTTATTATATGATTGTATTTAATAATATTTACGATTTAAGAATATTATATAACTCTTTTGTAAATTATTGCCACAAATAAATAAAAAATTTATGTACCATCATATCTAAAATTCTTATGTCATTCATCAGTATTGTACCAGCAGCAATAAATATAACTATAAAGAAATAATGGTTTAAACTAAATGATAATAAGATAACTATTTAATTGTATTTAAAATATAAAAAGCATTGTTGTTGTTATTCATCTTCTGCTTCTTTTACTTTTTCTTATTGTTATTGCTATTATTATTGCTATTATTATTATTTATCCGTTACCGTATCTGTTGAGTTAATAAATTAAATGTGAAGGTTGTCGCACATTATTGTCGATGGATTCTTATTTAACAAAAAAGCTTAGAATTCAAAGAAAATTAAATTTTATATATATCCAGATAATAAATTTTATCAATCTATTCATTTAGAATTTTGTGCGTAAGTTTTAATTTCCTATAATTTATCGATGAGGTTAATTAAATGAATTTATTGAAATAGTAAATATAAAAAGAGTATAATCATTTTTTCGAATAAGAATGTGCAGATCAACAACTGAATAAACCATCTAATTGCACGTATCATCAACTAGCAAATTACTTTTCAACGACATTATCTTAATAGACAGGGGCATTGGTTCTCAACATTTAATACTCCAGAAGAGTCTAGGCAATACCCTTCCACAGCTCTAGCTAATTTTTATAATCTCCAGGCACAAACTCTAGCTTTAAACAATAATGAAACTCACCGTAATCAGGACGAATGACGGCCTGCACGGCCTGCTCGTTTTTCTTGCTTCGTATGACCGGCTCGCCGAGGATCGTGAAGTTCCTGGGTCCCACGCGGTTCACAAACACAAGATACACTTTACCCCTCTTGATATTAGCCCGCACTATACCGGCACTCAGATTGTCGCGTTCTCGCTGCTGCTGCTGCTGTTGCTGTTGCTGCTGGTAGATATTATGACCATTTGAAAGCTCCTTGTTTCCATAGCTATCGTGTCCGCATATCGTCGATTTACCTGGTACAGTTTTATCGCGAAAGTGCAGCCTAACACTGTCGTTCTTCTGTAAAGGCAGGAAGCCCGGTTGGCTCTTGTACACCTCCTTAACTTCGAACGTGACCGCGTAGTTTGAGCCAGGCTTCCGCAGTGAGGACATGCTACGCGCTTTACCCTCAAATACTGTCGGCGCCATATACGCTCGATTACCCACGTCCATGTCTGGGCACCAGTTCCTACCACGGCAGTTGCGGTTTCGACACCTTCGACGCTGCTCCCGTGGTGAATCCGTCCTCGTGCGGTTCCGTGCCCGTTCTCGTTGCTGCTGTTGTTGTTGTTGATACTCAAGGGAGCGACTGGCTCGAGGCCGTTCCATCACAGTCTCGTTCAGGTAGCGGCGACTAACTGGTACGGGTCCTTTCTCTTGTTGGTAAGGGCTTCGTGCGTTTCGCCGGCGATTTGTCCACTTGTCCTCGTACGGCCCCAAACCAAATATCATCGATTTTCCGTAATAATAATCCTCCTCGAGGTAGCTTGTCGGAACCGGGCTACTCGTCCTCTTCCAGTCGGTGTTAGCAGCTGGTGGAGGCGGTGGTGATGGTGACTCGGGTAACGCGAGCACTCCCAAACAGCCGCCCAAGACTCCGGCTACGAGCAGCGAGAGCCACATCGTCCTCGTCTTTCGGGACTCACCCTCTATCGGCACAAGCGATACGCTCGGAGCCCCTCCCACCCCTAAGGGCTTCGAGATCAAACCCTTGCAAAGCTGCTAAGCTATTGTTCGGGATATCGCACGGACTCACGTTTCGCAGACACCGTTCACGAATCGTCGCGGTACGTGCGACGACGATGCTGCTGGTGACGCGCAGCTGATATTGTCTCCCAGGGCCCTGGTCCGGGCCTCATTTTGCGCTGGCCCTTGCGGCCCCTTCAGCGCGGCCCGCCTTCCTGAATCTCTCGGCGGCACCGTGCCGCCGGATTGTCCCTCATGTCCGCGTGGCCCGGCGAGTCAAGTGCCTTTCACTTACTTCGGCTCCTCCAGCCGCGGTTCTTACCAACTATCGTCTCCACTCTGGATTATCAATCAATGCTCCTAAGATCCTTCGATGAAAATGCGATACTCAGTTACAATTGGATCGGTGACTACAAAAGTAACTGAACGGTAGCGCAGCCTCGAAAATTAGGGTCGACCTCTTCAGCGGATGAGGCCGCTGGCTAAAAACGCACGAATACGATCTCGGGCCCAGCTTAGAGCACACGCCCTTCCACTGGTAATCAGCTATCTTCGTCTTCGGCCTCGTGATTTTCTTGCTATGGGTTCGCCCTGATAGCATCGTGTGTACTTTGCCCGGGCTAAGGCTCGTACGATCGCGCTTCTTCAAAAGTCCCTCAAAATTCGAATCTCGAGAGATAGTGATAGTAATAATAACAGAAGTTTGTAGCTTTTTTCGCCCAATGTAGGAATAACTGTCATGTTAAACTCCCACGTGGTGGAGTTTTAAACGTGGTCGTGGTGACGGCATTTTTAAATCGCCCGCGGAGGTGCGCTTCAGTTTAGCTCAAACTACGGGGGGTTAAAATGAATGAGGAAAATGTCTGTAAATGGTCGTGAGGATTGAGCGGACGATTCAGAGACGCGTCGCGTCGCGTCGTGTTATCAGCCTACGAGTGGCAAGGACAATCGTCGACCGGTGATTCTGGGCGGCTAACTAGGAGCCTCCGAGAATCGACGAAAAGCTCAAGCACGCGCGGCGGTTCAAATTAGACTGAGCGAGCGGCTCGCGCTCAGCCGAGACCGGTGAGTGCCACCAGCGCCAAACTGCGGTCGCCACGGGAACTTCTGCGCGCGCACCCACAGCGGCATACGCAACGACAAGCCGCGGCAAAAAGAGAGAAAGAGAGAGTGTGTGTGTGAAAGAAAGAAAGAGATGGGGTGATAGAGAGAGGGGGGAGTGAGAAAGAGAGAGAGAGGGGGATGCTCTTTCGGGAGTACCGTCAACTCGCCGTCGTTGCCTTTCCTCTTCAGTCTTACATTAGTTCATTCTCTTGCTCGTTCTTTCCCGCTTAATTTCTCAGTGCCTCCCCGTAGTTCTATCCCACTCTTTCTCACCCTTTCTTCCTTTCTTTAACTTTTACACCCACTTTCCAACTCTCTCTCTCTCTCTCTCTCTCTCTCTCACACTCTCTCTCTCTCTTTCTCTCTCCTCTTTTTCATACACACATGCGCGCACTAAACCCTTTCCTACGTTCCTCCCTTTCTCTCTTTTCATCAACAAATCAGAGAGATGAAAGTCTAGACATGGAATGAAGAATGGACCAAAGCAGGCGCGGTTTGCCCTTTTTTTCTTTCTTTTTTCTTCCTTCCTTCCTTCCTTCCTTCCCGTGCGGCCTGCGTATTGCCTTGTATGTCTCTTTTCTTGTTCATCATTTTCTTCTTCTCTGTCTTCTTCCTCCTATTCACTTCTCATGTCATCCATATTGTTATATCATCGTTGACGACGATGATAATGGCAGAACACATCCCTCTATTCTTATTTTTATTTCTATTTTACACTGCTAGCTATTTTACCATTATCTCATCTTCTTTCTCTACCACTCTTCCCATTCGTTTTTCTTCTAGTTTCTAGTTTATTATTTTATTTACTATAAAATAAGCGCGTGAGACTTGTGACACTTTGATAAAGAATGCAAGAATGCCAGCCAGAGCGAGAAAGATTGAGAGAAGATGACTAATAGATATAAGGGCAAAAGAGAGAAAGAGTACTTATCTAATCAGGATGCTGCATGTTCACACTTTCATCATCGATTTCAGGTTGTTTTTTATCTGACAAAATGTTTCATGTTTTCATTTTCCACCCGAGAAGGACGAGTAGCCCCATGAAAAGGAGAAATGTGTGGCATGATTTTTCCCTCTGGTAAAATTATTGCTTTTAAATTCTTACTTTCAATTAGCTTAACAGCTCGTGTCAACAAAAAATTAATACTATCGTAGGAAAGTTAAAGAGTATGGATTTTACAAACAAACAATAGGTGTTATTAAATTACTAATTTGATGCGTCCGATTATTTGCTAGTAAATATTTTCGAAATAACGTTGCAAAGATAGCAAATATGTTAAGCGTGTTTTTGTAATGAAATTGTTATTGTACGAAACTTCTTTTTGAAATCCTTGGATACTAATATGAATTATTTTCAAATTAAGTAATTTTCACATTATTTTAAATTAATAAGTAACGATTATTCAGAAATTAAAAATGAATTAAAAATTATTGAAATTAATGTGATATTATAAAAATAATATTCCTTTTGCTAAACGAATTTGTCGAACTAAAATGTTTAATTAAATAATAATTATAAATCTTGTGAATACGTATTATCACAATATTTCATATCAAACTCCTCTTTCAATATTCAGATGATACATTAAAACATAAATTCATCTTTAATCACATTAACTATTCAATAATACAATACATGAAATATTTATGTACTCGTGAATATAACGCCTTTTCCACAAGAAGAAATTATGTCCATTAATACAATTATGTATTTAATAATACAAAATTTTAAAAAGTTCAATTCCTCCGGTAGAGTCTTATATTCTTATAAGCTTTCTTTGCTGTTTTATACATTACAGAATTATTAGTACATATATTTAGTCTGTTTGTTATTTTTTACTAAAAACAAAAATTTTAAATGTGTGTTCTATTTCATGAAATTGACCTTTCATAACGTACTTAAAACATTTTGTTGAAAGAAAGTACGTACTAAAAAAGTAGTGACTTCTGTGAGGATATTTTTAGTTGAGTTTAAGCTCAGCCTAAGCTTCTTTCATGACTAACATGTGCGGAAAATCATAAAACTCAAATACTAGAAAACAACGCGGCATAAACAGAAAATTTTAAAAACTAAACTTCAAATATTAAGTAACCTTGATTTTATGTATAAATTTTTTAAATTTCATCCATAAATTATTAAAATTTAATCTCTATTCTTTGGAAACAATTATTATAATAATTTTCTTAGAAAGATAAAAATTTATATATACATTTAATTAAGATTAAATAATAAATTAATTGAGAAATATTAATGTACTAAATATATAAATACACATAAATTATTAAAACATAATATAAACAATATGTAACAAACATTCAAGTGATAATCCTAAAAATTAAAATCTCAGATTTATAGGAAAGCGAAAAGATGGATTTTCCAATGACGGATAAATGTATACCATTAGTAATCAATTTATTATAAGTAGAACATATTATATTTCAATTTTATTTAATATATCGGCACTTCAAATAATATAATAAATAGAAAATAATATAGTGAATGCTGTATTTTAAATAAATCAAATCATTATTTGTTTATTTTTTAATGTATAATAGACAAGTATGAAAAAGATTATTATGAATTAATTATAAAACATATATATATATAAATGTTTCGATAAACTATAAACTATAATATATCATTAAAATTAATATTGTTTGAAGTTTTATTTTATTATAGATCATTATTGTTTTAAATTTTATTATTTAATGGTCAAGACAATATATATGTTTTAATAAATATTATGTATACAGTTTATATATATATATATAGGTATAAATATAAATAATTATGGAATATAAAATTTTAAGTATGCCATTTATATTTGGATGGAAATGATAACGTGTATTCACGTACAAGTATATAATGTTATTCTTGAAATTAGAGAAAATATCTGAAAAATGTAGGAATTGATATTTTAGATAAAATAACAATTGTACTATTTTATATATTTTTAAAGCACAATATCGTTAATACATAAACATATTTTATTAAAACAGATATTTTATTTATGCTTTAAAAATGAATATAAAATTTATAATTGATTCAGGAGCATCAGTGTAAGCCTGCACACAATTTAAATATTCAAATTGTTATCGCAGAATTGTAAAATAATTACGAAACATTTTACAATATAGTTCATTGGTATTTCTAAATTAATTCTTTGATCTAAGTTTTTTAGTCTAATAGTTTCGATAAATAACTAGTTTTACCTTAGTTCACTTTATAAATCTAAAATGGAAAATTTGTTTTAAAGTTTACATAGGGAAAGGACATACGCAAACTCAGGGTGAGAACGAGAGAAACAATCGACTCGTCGTCAATTAAGATGCAAGGGTCGGGAGCAAAGAGGGAGAACGCACACAAACTTTAGTATGCATTAACAGAAAAACATACGCATGGAACATCACGCGCGCACGTACATATATATATATATCTACATAGTACCATCAATGGACGACGAACTTCCAGAGATAGAGAGAGAGGAGAGATATGAGTACTTTATATAAATTATGAAACGATTTCAGAGCTCATTTGAAAAGAAGTCCGATTTGTTGGAAAGGTAAAGTGACCAACATCCTCTTGTTCACACCCGGCGTAGGATGGACGTGCGTTTCTCACCCGCTATGGCCTCCCGTTGTGGAGATTTGAAAACGGTGCGGTAAAAGAGACAGTTTAGGCCCATTAGAAGGGTATTTATGGATTGCCCAGCAGGCGTGCGCACTACATCGCATATATATACAGATGCGAACTGGGAGCCGGTAAACATAGGAGAAGAATGAAAATGAGAGAAAGAGACAGAGAAAGGTAGATTTTGTTTTTCCACTGTGCTTTTTTTTAATCATATGTACTGAATTCTATGAGGTGCTAATAGAAAATTTTACTATTTTGCTTGCCCGTATACAAAGCAAGCAAGGTAATTTCTCTGTTTCTTCCTTTTATAACACCTTTAATTTTCAGCCGAAGATCGCAAAATCTTAGATATATACTGATATATTTTTTATATTATTTCCACTAATTTATTAAGTCACATACACAATTTATTTCCATGTTGTAAAGAGTGAAGGTGCATTAGGCAACAAAACAAATTAAATAATTGCTGCGTACATAATAAACATGTGTGCATAAGTTTAATGACCAAATTTTTATGATATTAAGGGCACTAAGGTTTTAATATTTATGATTTTCTAATTTATTTTTTAATATATTTGCTTATATACAAATGCAAATATTTTATGCAATTAA